CTTGCACAACCTCGATGTCATTATTTTCAAAATTGTCAACCTGATCTTTATCATCAGAGTCCAAATTTAACTCACCTGAACTAATTTGGTCGTTTTTTTTTTAGAAAGTATCAGTTACTCCCAAGTAAATACCATGATTAATGCGACACTAGTCAATAATCTTGACAATTTTCATACTTTTTTTTGTTGATTACTGCACCAACTTCTGTTGATCCTACCAAATCTTTTTTAAATTCAATTAAAAAACTCTTCAAGTGATTTGATATTTTTTTAACCATTGCTTCAGTATTGCCCGAACCAAAGATGCGAGCTAATTACTTGCGAAAAATAATTTTAAGGGATCCCTACTCATGATTCACCTAGATTTTTGGCCACCCGAAATTTTTTCTTGAAAGCACAGAGGTTTTAAAAATTCTGGGATTTTTGCCATCCCTATATATATATATATATATATATATATATATATATATATATATATATATATATATATATATATATATATATATATATATATATATACATATATATATATATATATATATATATATATATATATATATATACATATATATATATATATATATATATATATATATATATATATATATATATATATCCCTATACATATATATATAAATATATATATATATATATATATATATATATATATATATATATATATATATATATATATCCCTATATATATATATATATATATATATATATATATATATATATATATATATATATATATATATATATATATATATATATATATATATATATATATATATATATATATATATATATATATATATATATATATATATATACATATCCCTATATATATATATATATATATATGTATGTATATATATATATATATATATATATATATATATATATATATATATATATATATATATATATATATATATATATATATATATATATATCGCGAGGTTAGAATTATTTTGTTCTATCTCCACATTTTTTGTTTCGAGATAAAACGATTTAAAAAATAAAAACTTTAGGAGACGGCATATAAAAAGATTTTTATTACTTATATTTTCTCCGAAACTTTTTTGATTTTATCTTAGGTTTTAATATAGTAGAAAAACATTATTTTGAGGTACATTACACAATTAATAACTCATTTTTTTCAAAAAGTGGAGATAGAAACAAAATAATTCTAACCTCGCGATATATATATATATATATATATATATATATATATATATATATATATATATATATATATATATATATATATATATATATATACATATATATATATCCCTATATATATATATATATATATATATATATATATATATATATATATATATATATATATATATATATATATATATATATATATATATATATCCCTATATATATATATCCCTATATATATATATATATATATATGTATATATATATATATATATATATATATATATATACATATATATATATATATATCCCTATATATATATATATCCCTATATATATATATATATATATATATATATATATATATATATATATATATATATATATATATATATATATATATATATATATATATATATATATATATCCCTATATATATATATATATATATATATATATATATATATATATATATATATATATATATATATATATATATATATATATTTTTTTTTTTTTTTTTGTGATACATTAAAATTTACAATTAAATAAATTGTGTTTATAAATAAGAGAGCTGGAGCAAGCAGAAGACATAAATTGTCTTATCATCAAGCCTCTTGATGATAAGACAATTTATGTATTATTATCAAGAGGCTTGATGATAAGAATTAAAAAATCGTCAGTTAATATTCAAAAATGAAGAATAGCCAAGTAAATAACAAGAATTTTAAACACGTTAGTTACAATATAACTAATAGTATAATATAAATGTTAGTGTTAAAATATAACGCATTATATCAAATATTTACAATAATTTAAAAGTAATAAATTAAAGTTTTTCAGAAAAAAATTAAATTAGATTAAATTGATAATAAAAATTGCAACAAAAGAGAAGTCAATAACTAATTTTTTAGATAGTTTATATTATTTAATGTATTTATTTTAAAAGAGATATTTTAGATCAAAGTCTTTTTGTAATAAGAGATTCGTAGGTTCTTTTCTAATTTTTTCCAAAGAGATGTTTTTGAACATTATTAGTTTTTGTAATAAATTTTGAAAAATGTTTCCATAGAAACGGTCCGTGGTATTGGATTTTGTAAGAATTTAGTTTTGAATTAGCTTTTGGAACAATAAGTTATTAATTGAAAATTTAGTAGGATACTTGTGCCATATTTCACTACCCGACGGACATTTGTTTTTAAAAGTTACGTTCTAAATGTGTTTTAAATGTCTTTTAAACGTCTTTTAAACATTAATGTTTAAAAGACGTTTAAAAGACATTTAAAATGCATTTAGATCGTAACTTTTAAAATCAAATGCCCGTCGGGTAAAGTAAGAATGAAATACAATTGGAGAGAGCCCATGTTTAGTTTTAAACATGAATTGTAGAACTTGGTGTATATTAAGTTTATAAACACTTAGAGCACCGAGCTTCGTTAAAAGAGTTTCACTAAGAAAAGTTCTGTTTGCACCGAATATAATCCTGCATGCATGTTTTTGCTTACTATGAAGTTTTTTCAACATACCATAATTAGTATTACCCCATACAATATTGCAGTAAGAGATAAAACTATGAAAAAATGAAAAGTATTTTTTTTTATGGAAGAAGTGTTAAGATATGGTTTAGTTTTATATAATATATAAATATTTCTTGATATTTTATTTTCTATTTATTTTATATGTGGTTTCTATGACAAATTTTTATCTATTATTACTCCTAGAAATTTAACGATTAGTTCCCTTTTAATAAATGTTTGATTTGGAGATTGGGTAATTTTAGAGGATCATCATCACCTGTATTAAGTTTGGAAAATAAAATAAATTTAGTTTTTTTACATTTAATGAAAACCTATTACTTGTAAACCGTTTGTTTATTTTGAATAGTTCTTCATTAAATATATTGAAGAGAGTTTTTATGTCTTTGTTGGAATTAAAAAGATTGGAGTCGTCTGCAAACAATATAACATATAAAATATTTGATGCTAAGTATAAATCATTTATATACAATAAAAATAATAATGGTCCTATAATTAAACCTTGGGGAACACCACATGTAATATGTTGTTCTTTTTCTTGTTTTTATAAATAACACATTGTGACATGTTCGCTAGATAGTCTTCAAACCAAAGTAAATTTTTATTTTTTACTCCATAGAGTTCTAGTTTTTTTTTAAGCATCTTATGGTTAAGTATATTAAAGGCTTTTGACAGATCAATAAAAACTCCTAGATTAAAATAGTCATTATTGAATGCATCCGACTCATGATCAATTAGATCGATTACAGCATGGTTAATTGAATCATCTTTTTGAAATCCAAATTGTTTACTGTATAGCAAACTGTATATATATATATATATATATATATATATATATATATATATATATATATATATATATATATATATATATATATATATATATATATATATATATATATATATATATATTCGGGCCGTCCCGAAGAGGTCTCTCATGGGGTATGTGTGTGTGTGTGGGGGGGGGGGGTCTTAGATTGAATATATCTTTTTGAGAAGCCAGGATGAATTCTCATCAACATCAAAAATTCCTAAGAACCTTATACTGGCTTGTTTTTTAATTAATTTATTATTTAAGATAAGGTCAGGCAACTTTAGAGATTTACTTCTTGTTTTTTTTTTTATGGAATAATATGCAGTTTGTTTTCTCTGATTTAAGCAAGAGCTTATTAGCCCTAAAGCAACTATATACTTTATTTAGTTTAGTATTCATGTCTGCATATAATTTCCGAATATCATTGTTAGTAAGAAATAAATTTGTATCATCAGCAAATATGACTGAATTCAGTTTTAAAGACGCATTACATAAACCATTTATATAAATTAAAAACAATAGTGGTCCAGCGATAGACCCTTGGGGGAACTCCACATAAAACATTTAATACTCTAAATTGTATATCACATACATATTGTTTTCTATTGCAAATATAATTTTTAATTTTTAGTTTTATTAATTTTACAACAGCGTTTTTGTTTTTCTTATAGGATGCAGTTTGTACCATAAGTGTCAAGGGCGGGTTTTGCCACTCGCCAAGGAGGAGGCTAAAGGTCTTTAAAAAAAAAAAAAAGAAGGTTCGCATATTTTTATTTTTAAGTAGCTTTCTTTTTTAATTTTTTTGTACTTTAGTGTGATAATCAAGTTTATATACCAATAATTAAGTATAATAGTCAATTTAGTTTGTCAGTGTAATAGTCGAATTCTGCATAATAGTCAATTTACAAAAAAATATTTTTTTAAAAAAGTCCCAATGATAGGGAGGGTATTACTCATGCCCCCCTAAAATCCCGCCACTTACTTTTTTATAGGGGGTCGTCCATAAAGTACGTACAGTTTTTTTTGTCAACTCCCCCCCCCCGCATTTTGCAATACGTTTTTTTGCGTACCCTCTACCTCCCTAAAATTATCTACGCTTTTAACCTAATTATCTAACATTTTATGATTTTTTTTAAATTTAGTGTCTCCTTTCTTTTATAATCGACCCACTGCCCTCCTATCTCATATAAGGCAATTACAGACCCCCTCTTCCCCTCCGAGCGTACGTACTTTATGGACGACCCCTAGGGCTGAAAGATTGACTAGGGGGATGGGGGAGGTATGAAAGTAAAAAATTGCAAAAAAATTATTGACGTATTTAATGGACAGTCACTAATTTTGACTCGTATTAAACAAAACTTAGCGAGTTGTAAATTGGTTTAACAAAAATCAGCTTTAACAACACACAAAATACTTCTCCAAATACGCCATTACGGTAAAAAAACAGTTGTGCCAATATCACAGTATACGTTATGACATCACAACCAGGCAGTGCAATCCGTACACGAGCTCGGTTATCAAAAACTCGGTATAAAAGTGCTCGGTATATCATGCAAGCTTTCAAACATGGCTTCTAACAAACAAGAAACAGAATCATCGGATGTTAAGGTGCCCTTCAAACGAAAGCAGGTATTCAATTTATTTCCAATAAAGTTTATTTTTTTTAAATTTAATAGCACGATCAACAGTATTTTTAACAACACAGTTGTTTTGTCCAAACAGCTGTATTGTTGACAGCCTTGTTAAATGTTGTTCAAACTTAAAGTTTAGATTACGTTCTGATATGGTATGTCAAGAATACTTTAATTTACTGAAAATTTAAATATATAACTTATTTTGATAAATATATATGTAGGGTAACAGGGGGGCATTAAGGTCTTTTTTTCAGTTCATATAATAAAATGTCTAATGTTATTGTATTAAGAGAGAGGGGCATTAGGCTCTACACGATGAGACTAACTAAACAATTACGAAATTTTTTATTACCAACTTTGGGTTTCTAACCAATGGCGTTGTTGTTTAAATAATTTTGATAGATGAGCGGCTTTTCCATCCAGTTTTCAGTTTTCTTCAAACTTGTTTTAAAACTTCATCTAAGCTAGCAATTCCAGAGCACAAAATATTTGATTTTTCTTCAAAACATTTGATTTCAAAATACTTAAAAACGAAAACTATTTAATTTTTGTCAAAAAAAATTATGTAATTTTTATGAACTCTACTTACTTATTTCCTTTTTTATAATAGAGCTAGAACCTTAAGGTTTTTTGCAACAATTAGTTTGACTCTACATCTTTCCAACCACATATATAAAGTACTATGTTTAATATGGCTTTTTTTATATATTATTCATGTCTTAAGACCACTCTTGGTAAAAAAACTTGCCGTGGGACACGTTTTTTCAAAAGTAGTTTCTGATGAGTTTTAATACTTTCCTAAGTATTAAAACTCATCGAATTTGTTTAAAAATTTACATTTAGATTAAAAAAAGGATGAGGATAGAATCTAATAGAATGGGAAACTTTTTTTAACATTTATACATAAGTTCTAAGTTCTCAGCATTTAAAAACTCTAAGGTTGGTTTATTTAAAAAAAAAAAAAAACTTTTTCTAAAAAGGTTCCCTGTGAAAAAAGCAAGTTTAGCTTTTCCTTTATTCAAATCAAGTATTGTTTTCTTGAAGAAATCATACTTTGGAATTTAGTTTAGAAATAATGTATTTAATGTTTTTATTCCTACTTGTATTGTTTGTTTTGATTTTTGTGCTTGATTTTTGATGTTTTTTATGTTATTTTATTGTCACATTGCGCCAAATTTTCCATACACAAGGACAAGATATTTTGCCAAAAAATCATCAGTTTTTCCAGCACAAAGAATGCAATAAATTTGGACCAATCAACTTCTTAAGTTGAAAGATCCCTCATTTTTTAAGTCTTTTTAAGCTCTATACATCTATGTTAGTTATATATAAATATATTGACGAAAAAATTCTCTGGAATGGCCTGCTAAGCAAGCGCCACATTAATAAAGAGCTTGATGTCAAACTTAAACTTTTTGCTGATGATATTAAATGATATTCAATCTATGATGTATGTGGCCCTCAGTTAGATCTTTACATTGCTGTTAATCATTTTTACAAATGCTACTCCATTTGTATTTACTTGGCAACACCAAATAGCAACTCCAAATAGCTACAGTATTAGTGGCCTTCGGGTCCTTCTTTTGTTTTTAAATAAATAAAATAAATTAAAAAATGGAGCTTATTGCCTTCTTTATTGAGCAGAATAGTTTAGACATAGAAAAAAAAAGAAAGTAATAAGACAGGAAGTCTTATGCAACTAGCCAGATAATGACAGATGCCTACAATTTTGTCATATTAAAGCAGATGACAAAATTGTAGATACAGATGACATAATATAATATACAATTTTGTCATATGTCAACTTGGTATCCAAGCATTATAACAAGTACTTTCCAGCACTAGTGCTCACAATGCTTCTACCTCAACATCTCTACTACATGTATCTCTGTTAACATCATTGTCAACTGTAGCATCATTAACAGAATCTCCATCTTTATTTTTAACACCTGCAGAAAAACCACAGACACCATTGTCTACTTAGTTTTCAGAAAAGTTTTCTATTAGAGACTTTTTTCTTAAAGATCTGCAGCCCAGATTTGCAAAATCTTCTGGGCATGGTAGGTTGGCTAGAGTCAGGTTTTGCTACAGAGAAAGTTTAACATGTGATAAATGTGATTATCTGAAGCGACTACAAAGCAACTTAGAAATATAGTATCTTCATAATGGCTTTGACATAGTATCTTCATAATGACTTATAGAAATTTCCTAAAATTTGGTATCCCAATAGATTTTTACTTGAGGAATCCAAAAATAGCACCCTCAAGACTCGATTGTTTCAGGAAATGCCTCATTTAATTTTGTTCATAATTATTGTCTTGTAAATTCATGATTTTTGGAGATAAAATGAAGACTGTGGCTCAAAATCCTGAGTAAAAGTTTAATTATATATCATTATTTTATCTAAGGTCTACTGAAAAAAGTTAGATTCATAATTGTCTCTCTAATACTTGAACAAAAATTGTGTCTTTTTATAAAATTTTAAATTTTGTAACGAAAGCAATTGAAATGTTTTTTAAATCATTTATTTGAATAAAACATCAAATCGTGTTATTTATTGACTAGTTTAGGACATCTATAGTCATGGGTTAAAGGAGGACCAGGGGACCTCTGACCAACTCCGCTCTCCCCCCCTATCCTTCCCATATCCCTAGATGTTTTATTTTTTATATTTTTTTATACTTAAAATGAATTAATAATAAATAATTGCTAAAATTCAATTTAAAAAAACAATTTTTTTTTTAGTTTAAGTTTGAAAAGCAATTTATTTTCATTATTTCAATTCAAATCAGTGAATGCTTACCTCTTATAATAAAAACAAGCTTTTTTTTGTTCTTTTTAAAGGTTGTATTTTACTTGTTTGTATTTTCTTAAGGAATGATTAAGAATTTGATTTTATTTTTTATTTTTTGGTAGGTAACAAATAAGAAACCTATTTAATATGGAGAAATGTGACATTGGAAATAGTCTTACCATTCATTGCCACAAAATGGATTTTCTAGAAAACAAGGTTTTGTTTAATTCAAAGATCTTCCTTGTGAAAAACAAGATGAAATAATATGATGAGCAAATTTAAAGAAAAAATATTGTTCACTAAGAATGGTTTATCAAGTGTGAAATACTCTTCCAGTGGTTGAGCAGCACAATTTAAAAATTTTAAAAACTTTATCTTTGTCATCACAGTAAAGACTTAGATTTAAATGCTGAATGGATATTTTTTGCTACCAGTAATGGTAAATCCCCTGTGATGGTATTGGTGGGACTGATAATTCGAATTTGTTTTAATCTATTTTTTAAAGATGAAATCAACCAAACACAAGCACAATTAGAAAAAGAATATTTAGGTGGAAGAACAGTTCCTGGTACAAGGATGTATCATTTTGATCCAATTGCTTCAAACACTATAAGTTATAAAAAAATAAGTATTGATACATGTATTGAAATATTTGATATCATTTTAAAAAGCAAATATAATTAAGAGATTTCATTAAACAATAAAAAAATGAATTATATTGCATGTTTTATGACGGACTTTGGTGGGTAGGGATTGGTAAAGATGTAAGTGAGCTTGATATCGAAGTCAGATTCATACATCTCCATGGTCCTGGTAGAAACTTCTTTTAGCCAATAAGAAATGACGAGTGTTCGGTGCTTAATTCTGAAGTTATATTTCTAATTTCTACATCCTCAACAAAATCAGGTTGTACATACAACATATCTGATTTAAATTTGGAGAATATAGGCAGTTGGTTACAAAAAAAAAATTCTAAAAAAAAAATTTTTTTAATAATTTTGTTGTAATTTTATAACCTATTTTGTATTTAGAATTAGTCTTTCTTTTTTTCTTTTTTTTTTAAATTCTTGAATGGAAGGGGGGTTTAAATAAATCCCACTGTCCACCTTATTATGTTAATGACTATATTAGTCTTAAACTACCATAAAGATATTAATTTTTAAAATGTTTTAAAAATCTTTGGTTTTAAAATTTATGATTTTTAAAATCATAAAAAGATTTCAGTTTTGAGTGCTTACTTTGAAATAAGAGGTATTTATCAATTTAAAATAATGAAAATAAATTGTTTCTCAAACTTAAACTAAAAAAAAATTTATGTTTTTAAATTCATTTTAAGTATTAAAAATAAATCCAAGGAGATTAGGGGGAGGCAGAGTTGGTCAGAGGCCCCCTGGCCCTCCCTTAGCTCATGACCATGAATGTCCTAACTAGTCAATAAATAACACGATTTGATGTTTTATTCAAATAAATATTTTAAAAAACATTTCAATTGCTTTCGTTACAAAATTTAAATTTTTCTAAAAAGACAATGTTTATATGCAAAATTTGATCAAGTATTAGAAACAATTGAAGAATCTAATATTTTTTCAGTCGACCCAAGATAAAATAATGATATACAATTAAACTTTTTACTCTGGATTTTGGGCCACAGTCTTCATTTTACCTCTAGTCATAAATTTACAAGTCAATAATTTTGAACAAAATTGAATAAACAAGGCATCCTTAAGTAAAAATCAATTGAGGTAACAAATTTTAGGAAATTTCTCGAAGCCATTATGAAGGTACTATATGTCAAAGTTGCTTTGTAGTCGCTTCAGATAATCACTAAAATGCTGAGTCAGCATTATTTCAACTGACAAAATCTCTGGAACCTAGTGTATTTTAAACTAAAATTTTTGCAGTTATTATTTTTAATATGAACTGCAAGTGAGGTAAAAATGAACTAATTCTGAAACGTAAGGGTGTCAAAAAATATATATATATTTTTTTTTTTTTTTTTTTTTTTTTTATGATTTCATATGGTATTACCCTTAAATGAAAAAAAACTTGATTAAAAATTCATCAAAATCACTTGTATCTAAACTTTACAGTGGATCAGAAAATGATTTTTAATTGCTAAATAAGTTAAAATTTTATTTATAAATTCTCAACCTTGCCTCCCCACTCCTTCTTTATCATAAACTTTCTCCATACCAATGCTGCACAGCATAGTAGGCATAGTACTGGGTCTAATATTTTGAAAAAAGTACTCTGAAATTTCATTAATATGATATCCATGCGAAATTAAATGCGGCTTTAGAGTGCTACAAAAATTAAACTCTGTTTTCTTATGATGTATTTAAAATAAAAAATTAAATTTATATATCTTGATTAAATTTAGTAGGGTACTGAAATTCTTCCAAAAAAGCGTTCAATAATGTTGAAAACCTTTTTATATATATAGATTCAGATATAGATATAGATATGTATATAAATATTAGACTGTTAGCCAGGAAACACTTTTATACAGCATTCTCGTGATATTGGGAATTTCGGTGTGTTGAATAAAAAAGCCAAAAAAATGGTTATTGCATTTTGACATTTTAAAAAAAGTTTGAGGCAACCTATGGTAATTCCCTAACTCAATTTAAACAAGCAAATTAAAGTTCCACATAAGTAGAAAAATTAGACAGTTTTTAGATACATAAATATCTTTGATAATAATTTTTTTTTGGTGGTTATATTCATAGCAGGAATACTTTTATATTTTATAAATGTTAAATTTTAATTATTTAACTTGTTTCATTCTGAGCAATCTTTTTAAGTTTCATATTGAAATTGCCTCTCTTCTATGCATGATATAGTAGAGAGAAAATAAAAACAAAAGACAATTGTTTCCAATTAAAATTTTAATAAGTAAATTTGATATTTTGATCTTTTTTAATTACGTACATCGCTTTTAAATACAGATTAAAAAGTTTAAACAATTATTTACGTATAAGTCAACTTTTATTTTTAAATTATAAATGTAAAAAAAGAAGCTTAATACTATTAAATATTCAACAAAACTTTTTTTGAAGTTGCCATGATCCTCTTGTAACTTTTTAAATAGCTGAAACCACTTTTTAATTGATGACTATCTATAAAAAAAACACTATTGTATGGAAAGTTTTGGAATATTAAAGTCTTTAAATACTTTAGTATTTTAAAATTAAAAGTTTTAAATTAAATTAAATTTAATTAAATTTAATATTACATTTTTTAAATGTTTGATATTAACAAATTTCTTTCTTTTCTTGATATTTGCATAAATGAATTAAAATTTTTTGAATTAAATTTTTCAATTTTTAAAATTATCATTTCTTAAATTTCTAATTGTGGCTTTGCAACTACAAATAATTTTTTATTTATAAAAAAATAGCAAAACAAATTAAAAAATTACGTTAATTTATTTACATTATTTATTAAAAGTTTATTATTTTATTAACGGTTTTCTTGTGAAAGCAAAAATTATTCTTCCAAACATGATTTATTAAAATTATATAACTGTATTATTGTTTATTAAAAAACATTGCTGTATATCATTTATTAAAAAATAATCGCTGTAATTTAACTTGCGTTATAAAAAAAAAAAAATTTAACTTGTGCAAATTTTTGATGCAGCCACTTATTTAAAATTTAATTTTGAGTAAAAAAGATGTTTAAGAAGGAAAACCAAAAAAACAATTGCGATAAAAATTTTTTCTAATTTTTTTCTTTAAGAACATATAAAATTAAAATATTCAACAATATTTAGTAATATTTTTAAATAAGTTTGACTGTTAAGTTAAATCCCCAAGCATTAACTTTAATTTTAATAAATATATTATAAATCTATTTTTTAAATCAAAATTAAATTATATTGTTTTTTAAATCAAAATTAAATTATAATTTTTTCTTTTATCAGAATAATATTATATTTCTTTATTTAATTAGTTTTAAATAAATCATAAATTTTTTATCAGATTTTCATTATATTATTATGATCTTTGCTTAGTATTAGCTTTTTTTAAGCATAAAAATCAATCATTACAATAGAATAAAAATAAAATAAATATAAATTTTTTATTTTATTTGAGTTTTTTCTTTTAGTAAATAGCACTTATATCTAACATAGTTGTCATTTAAACTTTAGTTACAAATATTTTTACATAAACATCATTAAAAAGTTAATGTGATTTAAAAAAAAATTAATTTTAAACTTCTTTTATCTTACCACTAATTTATAGAATAGTTTAAAAGTTGAAAAATAATAAAAAGTTACTTAACTAAAATGTTTACTGCTTTCATAAAATTGCTTGAGGCATACTTAAATTGCTCTACGCATAACACTTTAAAACAAGGCCTGTTATTTATTAATATGCAAAAAATTTTGTAACTTTCCTGACTAAGGATAACCAGTAAAAATGTAAGTTAATAGTTTTTAAGAAATAAGAATAATAAAAAAATTAATTTATTAAACATATTAAAAAGTTTAAACTAGAAAAAAAACTGACATTATTTAAAAAATAAATTTAAACTTTTATGAATATTCAAAAGTTTATATGGTCACTATTTGGAACATGGCACGTATCAAAACGAAAACAAGACAAAATTGTCTGTTGGATGTTACAGCACTTTAAAATGAGTTACACAGCTTCTCTAAGAACAAGAATTATGAAGGTGATCCGTGTAGGAAATATGGCATTTTCTTGGTCAAGTTGGATTGCCTTTTCGATATCAGGTCACCTGATGCCATTGAGGAAATCGCGAAATTAAGATCTATTTTGTCACAAATGAAAGATAATATTGCTTGCTATTTAGATCAAAAATGAAACAGAAAGGCAACCATGGATGGTCATAATAAAATTTTTGAGATTAAGTCACAATTGCAAGCATTAAAATACAATAGGAAATTGATACTAAGCAATGATAAATAAGATATATTTTAAAATAAATTGTTAGAGTTTTTTTCTTTTGTTTTAAAATAACTTTAAAATTTTAAATTATTCTTTTTTAAATCACAAATTTTATATACATATATGCTAAAGAGTGATTAAAGCAGCTGGTGGAACCTTGGATGATTTTAATAACTACAGATTGAAATCTCATTGAAGCAGAATGTTAAATTGACAGAAGATTGCTGAGAATGTTATAGATAACGTCAGACTTAACCCTCCTCATTTTGGTGTCCTTCACTGGGATGGAAAACTGTTGAAAGATAGTAGGCGAGCGACATGAACAGTTAGCTTTGCTCATGTCTGGAGCTCCAGAATATAGTGAGGGAAAATTGCAGGGAGTTCCTGCTTTTTCTGACTCAAAAGGAAAAACTCAAGCCAATTCAACAGTGGATCTCCCAGAAGCTTGGGATCTCAGCGACAATGTTGTGGCATATGTAGTATTAGATATCACAGCCAGTAAAAGTGGCATCCACAATGGTGCTGCTAAACTGATTGAAGAAAGTTTAGGTAGAAAACTTTTTTAAATTGCTTGTTCATTTGAGCAATTTGGAAGAAATTTTTTTGGAAGTATTTTTGGACCAGAAATTAAGTTCTTTGCAAATTTAAAAAGCTTCTTGGCCAACATTGGATAAAGAATTGCCAATTGAAACTTAAGAAATTAAAGGCACCTGGTTGAAAACCATTAAAGAACAGACCATAAAGCACTTAATACATCTGTTTGTAAACGAAAATGCTGCAACATTTCCAAGAGATGACTATCGTGAATGTGCTGAAAATACACTCATATTTAGGCAAACTCTGCCACTTGGTGTACATTTCTGAAACCAGAAGCCATCTATGCTAACATCTATGCTTGCAAAATGTTCATGTTTTCAAGACTAATGCCACATGGCAAGGACATAAAGATCAAACTTAAATAAAACGATTTCTTTCACTTTACCACACACCAGCTCAGACATACAAAGAGTATGGCTGCTGCAGGGTGAAGAAAGTCACAGACAGCAATATCCTGATTTGGACCAAAAAAATACTGGGACAATGAAAAAACTCATTGAGAAAACACTTGGTTTCCATTTTTTCAAGATTTGTTATATTATTTAGTTCATAGCACAGAACAACATTGAGTCAGACTGACAAATAAATATATGATTTGCAAGCTGTGTATTGACTTTTTGATTTCAAAATGACAGTAAATGACACTCATGTAACTCATTGCTATCTTTTTGTTGCTTTTTACCATAGTTTTAAAACATAAATATATGTGTGTCAGTGCTTTTTTGTCAGTGCTTTTTTGTGCGCTGGCATTAAATTTCAAACAGAGAAGACTGATATATATATATATATATATATATATATATATATATATCAACTTGTTTTTCTGTGCAGCGGCCTTGATAAGGTTTTATGTTTTGGTGTTATAGAGTTGAGAGAGCTTATAACCACAATTAATTAGCCTCCTCGCCTGTAGTGGTCTTCTTGGCCTTGGGGAGGTGAATTAACATAAATATACCGTCCTAGTTTTATAGCGTTACACATAGAGCGATTTACGTAACAGGAATTTAGCGGTGACCAAATATTTTATTTAAAAGAAATAGCTATAAGTTTTTTTATATCTTTTAAATATTTATTTAAAAGATATAAAAAACTTTTCTGTCTTATGTAAATTTCATTCAATAATTTTTTATCAATTTAATGCTCTTAACTCTTTAGCATATATGTATATAAAATTTGTGATTTAAAAAAGAATAATTAAAAATTTTTAAAGTTATTTTAAAACAAAAGAAAACTTTAACAACTTATTTTAAAATATATCTTATTTATCATTATTTTTATTATCAGTTAATTAATTTCTAATTTAAAACATAAATTTTTAAATAAATAATTTCTCAAAGTTTCCTTCTAAACAAAAATCAGTTTTAATGTTTCATACAATATGCAAATAGCTTTGGTTTAATTTTTTATTGTTTGATTTTTAAATCACTGCGCACATTGGCTGGTGTTAAAGCAAATTATAATTTAAAATATGTTAGCCATCACTCAGTTTGAACCTTGGTATATCTGTATATAGCATTTTATATTGTTTTAGGTTCGTTTAGCAATAAAGGCATTACTGTCACATTTATCTCAAAAATCTGATGACCAGAAAAAAAAAGATGAACTGTTTGAAAATGATGAGCATGTTTGGCTTATACTTAGTGTCAATAAAATTCCAATCATAAAAAAAAAGCCAAAGAAAATGTAAGTGCTATTATTATTATTATTATTATTATTGCTACTACTACTACTACTACTACTACTACTACTACTACTACTACTACTACTACTACTACTACTACTACTACTACTACTACTACTACTACTACTACTACTACTACTACTACTACTACTACTACTACTACTGCTACTACTACTACTACTATTATTATTATTATAGTTATAATAATAATAATAATTATTATTATTTATATTATTATTATATATGAAGGCAGGCCTTGTTATGAAGCATTACGCTATGTGAATTTTTAGTACGAAATGGTGATTCTCACCTGCGTATAGCTGGTCATGTTATGCAAAAACATTTTTCAATTAGATTATTTAAACAGTCTTTTAAAATAGTTTATGTGAAAAACATTAAGCAGTAATTAATTGTTGTAAAAAAACATTTCAAATGCAATTATGAAATAACTTTTAAAAACATAGTTAATTAAGTTTACTAATTTTTGCTTTTAAAAGTTTTTAATTAAGGTTTATTTTATTATATTTAAATTAATTTATTATTAAATATTATTAAATATAAATTAAATTTTTTTTTTTTTAAATTTAAATTTTTTTCAAAAATTTAAAACGCTTTATTTAAAAAAATTTTTTACTGGTAAAATTTCTGAACTATGTTAAAAAAAAATTCTTTTTAATAAATTTAATTTGTTACTTTTTTATGTTCGTTTTACATTAAATACTATAAATAAATAAACTATTTTGTTTATTTGCTAATATACAAACGTGCTTAATTTAGTTATAACTGCATATAATGTACATCAGGCCTTGTTTTAAATAAAAAAATGCTTAACACAGTAGCCTTATGGGAATTTGAAGTCATAAAATCTTTCTCTTTATTTTTTTATTCCTAAAACAAATTAACTTTTTAAAATTACTGCAATAATATTAATAACTGCAAAACAAGTTAAATATTATTTAACTTCTTTTTTATTATTACTATAAGGGAATATTTATTTTATTTTATTTTTAATTTAAATAATTAAGTTTAATATAACATTTAAAAAAATGTTTTTTATTAACAAATTTCTTTCTTTTCTCAATGTTTGCATAAATGATTTAAATTATGTTAAATTTTTGAATTTTAAAAAAGATTATTTCCTAATTTTCTAATTGCGGCTTTGCAACTACAGATGGTTTTTTATTTAAAAAAAAATTAGCGTAACAAATAAAAAAATTACGTTAATTTATTTACTTTATTTATTAAAAGTTTATTATTTTATTAACGATTTTGTTGTAAAAGCAAATATTGTTTTTCCAAACATCTATTTAAATTATATCTCTGTATATATTATTTATTAAAAAAAATAATCGCTGCGATTTAACTTGCGTTATAAAAAAAAAAGGTTTAACTTATGTTTTGTGCAAATTTTTGATGCAGCTGTTTAAAATTTAGTTTTGACTAAAAAAAATGTCTAGGAAAGAAAACCAAAAAAACAGTTGTGATAATAATAAGCTAATTTTTTTTTTTTTCAAATCCAAAAAAAAATTAAATACTGAACAATATTTTATATATTTTTATTAAATTAGTTTTAAAATAAATCATGTATTTTTTATCAGAATTAAATTATATTATTATGATCTTTGCTTCAAGCTTACAGTATAAGCCTTTTTTAAGTAAAAAAATCTATCATTACAATAAAATAAAAACAAAGTTAAAATAGATTTTTATTTTGAGTTTTTTTCATTAGTAAATAGTGCTTAAATCTAAAGTATTTGTCATTCAAACATTTGTAACAAATATTTTTACAAATCATCATTCGAAGGTTAATGTGGTTTTTTATAAAATTAATTACTCATTTTTATCTTACTGCTTGTAGAATAAGTTAAAATATTATAAAAAGTCACTTAACCAAAATGGCTTACAGCTTACATGTAAAATCACATAAGGTGTAGGTAAATCACTCTATGTGTAACGCTTTAAAACAAGGCCTGTATATTATAATGGCAATGCATTTATGTTAGTATACCTGTATATCATTGTATTGCTGGATAAACCCTAATCAAGCATGTTGAAAAAAATATATTTAGTAAACTTTATGTAACAAATTTATGAAAAGATGATTTTTTTTAGTTTTAAAAGTTTTTTCTATTATCGTTAATTTTTTAGATTGGCCATAGAATGAACGTTGATTAGAAATGATTAACTAGTTTATGAATAGTTGGCAATGATTTTGTTAAAGCTAAAATGTTAAGAAAAAATTATAATAGTTTTTAATTTTTTTAATTTTTAAACCACTAAAAAAAACTATAAATTAGTACGAAATCGGAAATGTAGGATGAAGGGGCTAATTAAGCGATCACAAATTATGATGGGTCCAAGTCATTTAACAAAAATGAGAGTATATTATTTGAAGCAATTCTGAACGCTAGTTTTTATATTTCTGGGCAAAAGTTTTAATGAACAAGGATTAATCATGTTTTAAAACAATGTTGATACAAAGTAACCTAGTCAGATGAATATTACTTTTGATTTTTTGTCCATCAGGTCAGGCAAAGCTAATTTTCAAACTAACGCTTATAAGTAAGTTTTTTAAATAAAGTTTTTTAAATAATTTTTTTTTTTTTTTGAAAAAATATAATTGAATTTACTGATCATTTTTTTATAACAATATTGTTTAATTTTAAGATATTAATACTTTAAATTATTTTTAGCATGGTTTCCAATTAAATTTAATTACAATGCAGTACTATAAAATTCGCAATTGATGACTTTTAAAAAATGTAAATATGAATATTGAGTAAAGTTACATTAATTTATCAAAATTTCATAACAAGGCCTGTAAAAGGAATTTAAAAATCTGTTTTTTCAGGAAAAAATATACCAAAGTTTAATCTTTTTTTTTTTTTACAAATGTGATTGAAATGTTCTTTAAAAAAATTGTTTAATATGTTTTATAAATGTCACACAAACATTGTATAAACAATGACAGTTTGAAAGTTCTAATAAATATAATTTTTAGCACAGCAAAAATAGTACAGTGTTAAACATAGTCATATTGTAGGTTTCTGAGTCAAATAATGTTCATAATATGAAATAATGTTAATAATAAATAATGTTAACCCTTTACAGGTCAAATTATGACAAATTAATGTGAAAAATATTATTTTTTGTTATACTAACAATTTAAGTTAACAAATTAAGTTTTTGGAAAAAAAAATTCAAAATTATGTAATTTTGGTCAAATTTGGGTCTTATGCCATATGGCATCATTAGTCAATAAAGATAATATCTGAAAACAAAGTTATAAAATATTTTTATTGAAATATATACAAACAGCACAGGCAAAAAACTTTTTGTTCAAAAAACATGTTTATTCTAATGTATGTAAGCACTAAATACAGTTTTACTCAATTGTGGAAGTCTACATAGCAGTTGCGATTGGCTAACAAGCAAAGAAAAACAAGGTACAAGGCAATTAGCATATCTGCTAGATCTACACCTCCCATGCATTTATTGTATGCTGCCACTATATATGGGCAAGCAACGTTTTTTTTTTCTTTTGTTTTGCTGCACCAGCGATATATGGTACTCAAAGGTACTATGCCAAAACAGTTGGATACTAAATGAACAATACTGTTGTCTAACCATTTTACAACAATTAGTGCAGAATTTTTATCAATACGTTAATCAAGTGAACCTCTATCTTGTTTCTTGAGTTCTTTTGATGTTATTACTGGGCACCCATGTAAACGATTTGGTCTGATTGTGCCTGCAGCATTTATTCCAATATCTTTAAGGTATTGGATCAAATCAAGGGTGGAAAACCAATTATCGAAGAAAACAACTTTGTCTTCATGTTTAGGTAATTCCATGCACAAATACGCCACTTACAGATAAATAACTATAATCTGCTGGTATTTTACTTTCCTTTCTAGCATAGGTAAAAATCGTACATCATTCCAGACCGTCCAGCTCTGACCATGTTTTTAAAACCCCATTTACATGGTTTTTTAGGATTATATTGTCATATCTTTGAGTATTTAGTTTTTGAAGGTATTATTTGTTCATCAATAGCATGGAAACGTTCAGATTCTAAACTAATGCATTGTTTTCGGATCAACTCAATGACAGGTGCAATTTTAAATAACTTTCCACTATTTTGTGAAAAAGTTGTGTTGTCTACAAAGTGTAGATTTTGCCGCAATAGTTTATATCTGTTTCTCCCCATATTGTCAGCAATTAGAGGATATCGAAGAGAAGTGGACCAATAGCTATTGTAGGCAGGTAGTTTAACTAACCCCATTAACATTTGCATCCCAATTAACATTGAAATTCCATCAAGAGTGGTGTTGATACACTTCCCTGATTTTTGTGTGCTGTACAAGTTTGTGTTTTCAACAATTAACTGCAATAACTCATTGGTAAAGAAATGTTTGAAGTATTGAAAAGGTGAGCTTATATTATCTGGTATGTCCTTAAACTGATGGTCATATAAACTAGTATCGATATAATCTGAGTTCAGGTCTTTTTTTATCCATTGGTACTCATGCTTTTTTTTTAAAGCTTATATTATCTGGTATGTCCTTAAACTGATGGTCATATAAACTAGTATCGATATAATCTGAGTTCAGGTCTTTTTTTATCCATTGGTACTCATGCTTTTTTTTTAAAGCAGCTAGTGGTATATCATCATCATCATCATCATCATCATCATCATCATCATCATCATCATCATCATCATCATCATCATCATCATCATCATCATCATCATCATCATTATCATCATCATTATCATCATCATCATCATCATCATCATCATCATCATCATCATCATCATCATCATTATGATTATCATCAACATCAGCAGACACACAATTATCAGTGTTAGCATTTTCATTGGCTAAAAACTCATCATCATCGGATAAATCGGATACATCTCCATTAGTTACAAAATCTATCACATCAGCAACTGAATATTTTTTCTCTGTGCCATATATATGTTATAGTGTCTATATAATAA